AAGCCCTCCCAGAATTCTTGGGGTTCTCGGGGGGGGGGTGTGCAACAGACTTGCTTCCTCCCCCCCTAAACACAGCCCCCCACCCAACCCCGACAGCTCGGCTGGGGCTGCAGCTTCTCACAGAGAAGAGAGCCCAGCGGTACGATGTGGGTGGCCAAGAGACAGCCCCCCCCAACAGACACACATATGGAAGGGAAGGAGGAAAGAAGGGGCTGCGCCAATCCTCCAGACCGGGGGGGGGGAGAGAGAGAGCACAGGGGGGAGATTTTCTTTCCCCCCCCTTTCAAAGCACAGGCGGGGCAGCGTTTTTTGCCCTGGCCTCCCCTGCAGGTCACAACATGCCAGGAAAGGGTTAACAACAGAGTAAGGGGCAAAATCCAGGTGAATTATGATTGCTAGTTTGGGGGGGGGCAATGGCTTCAGGAGGGCCTTGTGGCACACACATACACCCCTGAAAAACTACCAGCCCTGGAAGCCTTCAGGAAGGCGATCCTAGAATGGTAGGCTTGCTGAGCTCAATAGGGCCTCCGAGGTCATCTAGACTGACCCCCCCGGTGCCAATGGAGGAAACCCACAGGGGGAGGGTTCTGGGCCGAGCCACACACCCGCTTTATGCTCTTCTCACCACCACCCCAGGAGGGGTGCGTGCTTGATGGTGGCCAAGCAGCCAAGGGGTGGTTTGAACCACCTTTTTGTAAAAAGGTCTGTTTTGCAGACCACACTTGTGGGCTGAGGGAGGGAGTCTGCCACGGCCGGCCCGAGCCTGGAGGCGCCACTTTTAAGCGATGCAATCAGCCGCCTGCACTCACCCCAAGGTTGAAAAGTGGCCCCGAGGGAAGGGCGGCTGCACCTGCCAAAGGTGTCATGGATGCTTCTGGTGGCAGGGAGGGATCAGGATCAGGGCCACGGCATGTCCCCAGGTCACTCTCCTCTCTTCCCCACACAGCTTTGAGAACACCTGTTTCCCACACACACACACACACACACAACTGATTTTAGCCACCCATTTTGTGTGTGGTCACAGGCTCAGCCCCCTCCCTGCCCCAATGTGCCCAGGAAATCAAGAAATGTGCTACTTAAGCAAGCAGGAGAATCATGGCATAACATAAAAGACACTTATTTAAAGAAGCAACATCAGAAACAAAGCCTTTTTGTTTCAAAGGTAAGTTACTTCCCCCCTCCGCCCCCACAGATCACGACTCTTATGCTAACACCCCCCACCGCAATCCTGGGACTTCTCATTCTAAATAAATAAATAAAATAAAATAAAAACAGCATTCCCCCTTTTCCGCTGGCGGTCCTTAAAACACGCCGAGGTCAAGACCACATTTTCCCACGCGACCGTGCTCCCGGTGTTGTGGATTTCATCTCTGTCATTTGGGGAATGATGGGCTACAGAGTCCAGGACATCCGGAGGGCATCGTCTTGAGGAGTACTGGTGTGGGACCCTCCGGCATACCAGTCGCTGCAGGATTTGCCCCTTTTTCTTAGCAGCTCCTCCAAAGGGTGACACGGATCCTGTTTCCTTCCCTTGATATTTTCCACCCATGGGGGCGAGGGGGGGGAGTGCTTAGGAGCAAAGGATGACTCACAACGAGGCAGAAAAGAAGGCATCGCATGCGGGATGTGGAGAGTTTGACCCCAACCCTACTGAAATCCTCCCTGGCCCAAGACTACCCTCCCCCCCCGACCAGCTTCCCTGGAGATTCCTCTGTGACGTGACCAGGGAATCCAACCTGCCCTGTGTTTCAGATGAAAAGGGGGCGATGTTGCCCATGGAATAGCCATGGGTGGCTCCAAAGAAGCACGGCTGACCCCACTACGCTCCCCAGCAGGACAACCTCAAAATTGGAGAAAACCACAGAGAAGGAAAAAGGGCTCCTGCCATTGCCTGGGGTGGGCCGGATGGGAAACTAGAAGCAATACCCCCACCCCCAAGAACACCTGCACCTGAGGAACTGCCCCACCTCTTTCCTCCAGGTGTCCCCCCCCCAAAAACCCCCCACACACACACACCACCCGGCAGAAAGAAAGTGGCAGTTGCGTCTATGCAGAAGCCCAGAGACCGAGTTTGTCTACTCATGAGAAAGACCAAGAGACAGGAGTTTCTACTCTTGAGGGACAAGCATGCTCTGGATCAGGGCCTTAAGACCAAGTAAAAGAGGGTGATGGGTGGTTTGGAGCATCCTGTATAAAGCAGCTCGGTCCGTCCGATGGCTAGAGCAACGTCTCTCTCTGCTTCAGCACTTCTGCCTGGACAGCTCCCTTCTAACGCTCCCCTTCTTTCTCTTCTGGGGGATGAAGACACTGATTTGAAGAATGTTTTTTATGGGGGGAGCAGGAGGTGGAAGCGGGGCAGAGAGAGTGCCTTCTGGAACCCCCCCTCCCCACCCCACCCCTCACCCCAGGCTTGGAGGTTTCTCGGCAGGGTGTTCAGCTCAGAAAGGCTGCCAAGAGGCCTCAAGGAAACTATGCTTCTACTCGCTGTGAGCAGGAATCGAGAGATGGTCCGGATCCCGATCTTTCCAGAAGGTGTCATGGGAAGGCCACAACAGGGAGGATGATAGGATGGGATGGGGGGGATTCAAGAGGGGGTGTGCTACTCCATGCCAGGCAGAGCAGAGCTTCCAGGGAGAGGCCCAGACAGAGGATAAGGGAAACCTTCAAGAAGGAAGGGAGGAGAGAAAGAGAGAGCAGACGCGTGCAAGCCGCCCATGGCTAATTGTTCTGATAATTCTCTTCCCCCCCCCCAAAAAAACACCCCAAAGTCCATCTTGAGGGGAGAAGCAATCGTATTTACAGGTCCTTCTCTGCTGTGGAGGTGGACGGAGGGGGTCAGCCAGCCGAGAGAGAGAGAGAGAGTCATTCGGTTGTTCACCGGGAGGAAAGGGGATCCGTCAGAGGCTGGTGACAGTTTTCGGAAGCGGGGGGGGGCTCCCCCTCCAATCACCCCTGCCGGAGGGCGGCGCCCGCCCTAGATGGAAACTTCATACTCCCGCATCTCCTGAAGAGAAAAAAGCCTGCAGAGGGTTGGTTGCTTGGACGTGTGGGGGCGACAACCACTGAACCCACCCGCGCAACCTCCCAGCGCCGCCCGTCTGGAGACCCCCAGTCCTGTTAGACTCCCCGGCTCCGAGGTTTGCCAGCCTGCGGAACCCTTGGCCACCTTTAATAAATACCCCAAAGGCCAGCGTTGCAACCCCCCCCCCCAAAAACAGAGAAGAGAGAGTCGGGACTTACTCCGGTCTCATAGGTGGGGTTATCAAACGCCGAATCGACCGTGATGTGGTTGTAGGGGGGTGAGCTGGAGAGGGGCAGCTGGAGCGACGGCTTGGCTTGATGCCTAGGGAGAAGACACAAGGGGTGCCGGAAGGGGGTGAGGAGGCGCCCCAGGCCCACATCCGTCTCTTAAAGGAAGCAGGTCCGACAGGAGACTTCGGATCTTTTCCCAGCGCTGTGCGGCTGTGAGACTAGTCCCCAGAGATGGGGGTTTTGAATATCTTATCATTCTCCTTTCAGGTAATGCTAGACAGATAGACAGACACCTTACAGATGCCTAAACGTGGCTCGCCTGGGAGGCAGGGCCTCCACAGGGAGGCTTAGTGGCTTAGCTAGGCAGAGAGCTCCATCTACGTTCCCGTTTAAAAAGAAAGGCTCCCGGCTTGCACTGGGGCAGGAACAGGAACCTTGGGCAGGACTAGGCCGAGCTAGGCCTCTAAGACTTCCTGTTAAGGCCTTTCTCCCAGGTGAGCCACACTGAGGGGTCTGTACGGTGTCAGCCTGTTAGGTAGATCTGTCAGAGTAGAGAATTATGGGGCCTGTAGTCCAAGAAACAGAAAATGCTGATCATACAACAGGGAGCCAGTGGATGCTTATGAGATTTTCCTTCTGCTCCGTGTTTCGGCATCAAGATGCCAGTCAAGGTTCTCTCTGGGCAGCTGAGTAGCTGGCGTTGAGGTCGAGGTCCTGCCCTTTTGGAGTCTCTGACTGCACGCTGAAAAGCCCCCCTCCATCTCTGGCCCCCTCCGGGTTCCTTCCGCGGGTAACCCCTGTTCGCAGGGACTTACCGTGAGATGAAGAGGTAGACCACCCCCAACAGGAGTGCCACGGCAGCCACGGGTAGGAAGATGGCAAATGCCACGTTGGTGCCTTGCAGAGGGTTTTTCGCCTGTGCCACTTTGGCCACTGCTTGAGGGAGGAGGAAAGGAGGGTGAAGGCTCTGAAAAGGGGCTCAGGGAAAGGAGGGATCCACAGAGCAGGGGGTGGTGGTTGCAGAGCCCACCTCCCACAAAGGACACCCCCCCCTGCCAGAGGAGTCAGTGGTAGGGGCGAGAGGAGGGATCCCCCCCTTTCTTCTTCCTGCCACCAGTGACCTGAGACACGTTCCTTGGCCTTACCGTCCAGGTTGCGGTTGGTGTAAAACTCATCACGGGAAGCTGGAAACGGGGCAAGGGGGTCCGGGAGGGGAAGAGAAGAGAAGAGAAGGCAGGTCATGGGTCTGGATCGCAGGCTGCTGCTGAGGGGGGCAAGGGTGGCACTCAGGTCTGGTCCTTGACTCCCCTGCTTCTTTGATTCCTTCCGTTTCTTACCTTTGCATCCGTCCTCCTCCCAGGAGCCCTGCGAGGTCGGCCCCTAGTGAAGGGGGCTGGAGGCTGCCGTCTGACCCTCTCTGGAGGCCCCTAGGTTTCTCATCCCTGCAGGCCTGCCAGGCCCCCGGGTGCCCCCATCTGTGACTGAGGAAAGGGTGGCCCCGATGTGGCAGGGCCCCCCTAAATCGAGTCGAGAGGAGGACTCACCGGCCTTGCAGATCGGTGGGGGGCCACTCCACTGCGAAGGGTGCCCTGGCACACAGCGCAGGACGGCGTCGCCCAGGAGGACGTAGCCGGCCAGGCAAGAGAAACGCAGCGTGGCCCCTGCCTGGTACACCCGCCTTTCGGGGTTCTGCGCGCCGTGATCGGGGACGCCTGGATTGCGACAGGGTTCATAGACCTCGGCTGAAAGAAGGAGAAGGCCAAAACTTCAAACGGCCACGTCTCGCTCATTTCCGTGACAAAACAACAACTGTTTTTAGGGATGTCCAGGGAACCAGGACCCCCTCTCCTCTGGCAGCTGGCCCCCACCCACAAGGCTGTGACGGAGAAGAAGAAACCCCACGTCTCTCCCCGCTCTGCGTTTTCTGCCATCCACTTTCAGCTTACGTATGCATTTGGGGAGGCGGTCGCTCCATTTGGGGCCCCCGGCTTGCCGGTCATGGCAGACCATCTCGGTGCTCCCTGCCAGGGCATATCCTTTGTCACAGATGAACTGGACCGTAGAGCCGACAGGGAAGTTGCTGGCAGAGACTATGCGCCGGCTGTGTTCCACGTTGCCCGGGTCCTGACATGTGGTCACTGAGGCAGGCGAGGGGAAGAGAATAAACAAAGTGGACTGATAAGAGAAGAGCACATAGCAGCTCATCCCTCTGAGATGTGGCCTGTTCTTGGTTCTCCAAACTACACATTACAGATGACCCGTCATTAGAAGACAAAATTCATCAGCTGCTGAGAGACATCTGATTGTTACCACCTATATTTGTTGTACTTTGTGAAGTCTGCATCCTAACTTGTTGGGTTTGCAATTGATCTTTGGGAGATAAACAGAGGCTTAATTTTCAAGGATGGTTGCTTATTTATGAAACCCATAAATCACACCTTAGGGGGCAGGCTGGCAGGGAAAACATCAGTGGGGGGGCGTTTAGTGGGGATCCTGTCCAAACTTTAAAGCTATTCTTCAACAGTTCTTGTTAAGTTCAGGGTAAAATCCAGGGTATATTCACTGCCCTGCTGAAGCTGGAGCCACCAGCCCCACCCTGGCTCACCTCTGGAACATGCCGCGCATTTCAGTTTTTAGGGATAAAGGTAAAGGTAAAGGTTCCCCTTGACAATTTTTGTCCAGTCGTGTCTGACTCTAGGGGGCGGTGCTCATCCCCGTTTCCCATAGAGCCAGCGTTTCTGTCCGAAGACAATCTCCCGTGGTCACATGGCCAGTGAGACTTAGACACGGAACGCTGTTACCTTCCCACCGAAGTGGTCCCTATTGATCTACTCGCATTTGCATGCTTTCGAACCGCTAGGTTGGCGGGAGCTGGGACAAGCGACAGGCGCTCACTCCGTCGCATGGATTCGATCTTATGACTGCTGGTCTTCTGACCCTGCAGCACACAAAGGCTTCTGCGGTTTAACCCGTAAGTGCCACCACGTCCCTTAGGATAGTTTTTAGGGATAGCCTGCATCTAATGTATAGTCTGTCTCTTTAATACTCAGAACACAATTTAGCAGGAGATTCGCTTTTGCACAGAAAATTCAAAAGACAAAACAAAAAAACCTCGAGCAGGAAACTTCTGGGTCAGATTAAGAGGCTTTTAGTTTCTCAGGCACACAGACATGCCTTCCACGAACGTAAATATCCAACTATATATACTTATGTCCTGTTCTTTCCCGCTGTATGGGGAAGCCTCTGGCTGGCTGGCTGGCTGGCTTGCGTGGTTAGTTTCCTCTTTCTGTTCCATGTTTACATATCCTTTATTTGTTAAAACGTTTGTACTTCACTTTATCTCGAAAGATCTCAGGGTGAGTTTACCAACCTTACAACCATAGAAAGGAGTCAAAAATGACTTTAAAAAAAAAGACTTTTAAAGCTGTGTAAAACCCACGACATGGTGCATGTTACGGTTTTCCTGTCCTGCTTCGGTGTTTAAATAATTCGCAGCCTGTGTTTGCTCTTCCTAAGCCCCCAGATCGGTTGCGTGAAGGCACATTTTGTAAATACAGAAAACAAACAAAGCATATGATTGCAAGCAAATGTCAGAGCAAGCAAAGGGACTGGGAAGTGGGCCTCCCACCACTGTGCGCGCTTTCCACACACACTCTCTCTCTCTCTCACACACACACACCACCAGCAGTGATGCATTCCCTGTCTGTGCCTGAAATCCAAAGCGCACTTTCCTAGGAGTCAGTCCCACTGAATTTGGCGGGGCTGGCTTTTGAGTCCATGGGTCCAGCACGGATCATCCCCTTAACGCATCCAATTTGCCTGCAAGAACTGTCCTGGAGTGGCCAGCAGGGGGCAGCCTTCGCCCAGTCAAAAGGGGACAATCTCCCTCCAGTGGCCAGAGTTCTAACTGGACGCCCTCCCCTCCTTTCCCTCCTCCTTGGAGGGGAGCCTGTTTTCTCCCCTGAAGACCCCGAGGAAAGCTTTCCCGGTGGATCCGGCTCCTCTCGGGAGCTTTCCGTGCTCACTTCTCTGGCAGGACGGCAGGTCTCCGCTCCACATCAGGTCCCAGTGGCACATCAGCAGTTCGGTGCCCACCAGCTCGTAGCCGGGGTAGCAGTGGTAGGTCACCACCGTGCCGTGGATCAGCTCCGGGTGGGACGTGGTTTTCCAGCCGTTGGGGATTTCCGGGAGTTCCGGACAGGTGTCGTTCCGGGGCACCTCTGTGGAGGAGAGAAAGAGAACGGCCGCAAGGACAGAGGGGGTGGGAAACTGAACCCCTCCCTGGCTCCATTCTGGCAGGGGAGAGTGGAAACCCGTGCAGGTTTTTTTGGCACAAGTTTGCTCTTGGGCCACAGCAAAATAAAAAACATACAAACTGCCGCAGTATCGTCTGGCCCTCCCCGCTGCACGGATGACCCCACTCAACAGGTCCCTCCGTGTCCCATTTCTCTTGGTCCTGGGGGGGCAGCTAGGGGAGTGGCGTTTGCAAATCCCATTTGCACCAGCCCAGTGACATGTCCCCCAGATCTGGAACAAACTGATCCTATGTTTGCTATACAGCAAATAAATTTGCTAACTGCAGCAAAATGAGGACTAGCGACTTGTCTTTTCCCCACTCAATGGTGCAATTTCTCTATGCCGAGTAAATACATTTGTTTTAAAATTTCTCCCACACCTTTCTTCCCTTCAGGAGTGGTGGTGGGAGTGGAGAAGGAATGAGGGAAGAGGAGGAATTTTTTTTTCACCCCAAGGTTGTCTTTAAAACATTGGGGGTCAATGTATATATTACAGACAAGATGTTTTTATAAGAGGAAGAGTTGATGACCTTCTAATTCTGATAGAATCCCATTCCCATCTGGGCAGCGATACTTGCAAGCAAAGTCTGCTTTTCTCTCTCAAGACCCATCCCTGAACATTGTTTAAAAGGCTCATTTGCAAGCTGCAGGAGGCCCGAAAGTCTCCCAGCATGCCAATCGAATGCTTTTTAGCATTGAAGGACCTCCGGCTTCTAACGATGTGCAAACTGCACGGTACAGTTTGACCCCAGGAACGCAGGAGGCTCGTGTCCTTACCAGCAAAGTGGATGATAAAACCCTGCTGGTAACCGAGGGCGCTGCTCCCAGGATCGGACTGGAACTGGATGGTGACGTCCGCCATGGAGGTGTACAGCTTGAATCGCCGGTGAGGGCCCGAGTACTGGCCCAGGATGCGGGCCGTCAAGTCGTCCCCATCATAGAAAGTGAGCATGTCTCCCTGGCCAAGGCGTAATCTGGAACAAGATGGGGCAGGGCGGGAGGGGGGAGAGAGGGCCTTCCGGTCACCCTTGACTACAGTGCTCATCCGCTCTCAGCCGCTCATGGCACGATGGCCCTTGTAGTCCGTCTCCTCTGAAGTATGCCTCTGGGTATGACAGAGCCGCGCAGAGGCACGCAAAGCCCCAAAACAAAATAAAGGATGTACCTTGATTCAGAGGGGAAGACATACTTTGTTTTAAATGGAGAACTGGCTTTTAAGAAATGGACCGACCCTTTCATCGGTTGGTGAAAGAAAAGGGGGTTTGAAATAAACCAATTACTGGCAAAAATGCATGCCACCAAATCGATGCTATTAATTAAAAAACAATTACGGGTTTCCGCCCCCTTCTCTTTTTCTGTCCTAGGATGTGGGGAGGACAAAAGGCCTTGGTTGTTATAAAGGGGGTGAGACCCCCCCACACGCACGCACACACACACTCACACGTGAATGTCCAGCATGATCCGCTTGTCTTCTTCGACGTGCAGGCCCCAGATGCAGTCCTGACCTTTTCCGTAGGGCTCCGGCCAGTTGGGGGACAAAACCACACCTGCCGAGTCGGTGATCTCCCCGCTGCAGACCGCTGTGGGGAGGGAGCGGTGGGTGGGGTGAGAAAGAGGGGAAAACAGAGATTTCATGGGGGGCACACCGCTGGTGGGTCGCCAGGTTGGGCGCCGCTTGTTGCGGGGGGGGAATCCCACATGGCAGAGAAAAAGAATGGGAAAGAATGATGTGGGAGGAACAAGCAAGCAGGAAGAGAAGGCAGGCTAGTAGCAGGGAGTTCCACTGGAACCCAAGAAGACAGAGAGGGTTTACCAGCTTGACATTCAATCCTCTGGATTCATATGAGGTGTCCCTTTGCATTCCTTTTTCCAGCAAACTCTAACCCAGACCCAGGAATGCATGGCTTTTTTTGGACTACAACTCCCACAATCCAAGATTCTAGGACTTGTAGTCCAAGGAAACAGAGTGAAATGTTCAAAGCCATGCCCCTCCCCCAATGCCTCTTTAGCGCTCAACGTGGACAGGCTGGTTTCTTTCCCCTTGCCCCCTCCTCCCCTAACACAGAACAAGAGTCTCCTCCGGGGAATCACACAGCCCATCGCTCACCTCGGCAGGCTGGCTCTGTCTCATTCCACTGGGGATTGTCAGGGTCAACGCACTCGATGATGACCGACCCTTGCTCCAGAGTGTAGCCAGCCTCGCAGGCGAACTCCACGGTGGTGCCCACAGCGTAGGTGGCGTCGCTGGTGGTAAAGTTCCCATACTTCACGAAGGGTTCGTAGCAGTGCCCGGGTTCAAAGGCTGCCCGGGGGGGGGAGGAGGAGGAGGAGGAGGAGGAAGCTTAAGAAAAGTTCCTTTTATCGGAATACAAAACCAAGAATCCACCAGTGTGCACAGCGGGGTGGTAGTTGGGGGAAAGTGGGCGTGCATCAGGTGGATTCAGAGTTAGCATGAAAAAAAGTGGGTTCAAAAGCATGATGGGAGATGTAGTCTACCGGCCATGCAAGCTGGGGAATGATGGGACTTGAGTCCAAAAATGGAACATTTCCAAACCCTGGTTTTACTGCCAGTTCTGCACCATGCATATGACGTCTTGGGAAAATGCGTCAAAATTACAGAACGGGAACAGACGACGGGAACCTAAATCTCATTGGTCTTCAGAACTAGAAATGGCTCGATGGAGTGCCAGCACTTCTGTCCCAACAGGTCTACTGTAGCGGGGACTCAGGACCAAAAGTCCTGTCCCCAGGGTGAGACCGGATCCGACCAGGCCAGCCTCCCTCCTCTCCCAGGCTCCAGGTGGCTGGGAGCGTGTTCTTCCCCAAGCGCCACCCCGGTGGGGACTACTCACCCTCGTAGCGCAGAGCCACGCCGGCCGCCACGCCGCTGCTGTCCGTGGTCAGCTCGACGAAGAAGCCTCGTGCCGTGCTGACCAGCCCCTCGATGGGGAGGTATTCTACTTCGTAGGAGTCGTACACCGGGGGGGCCTCGATGTGGTTCCCGTTCCGGATGATGAGTCTGCGCAGAGGACGGGACGCGTATCCTGATCGGGGCTGGAAAAACTAGCCAGAGGCTCAGCCCCTGGGGGTCCGAAGCAAGGGGGCTGGATGGGTGGGGCCGGAAGGACTGTCAGCATCAGAGCAAGAAGGGCTCGTTTCGAGTTTCAGGTTTGGGGTAGGGAAAGACACCGTCCAGAATCCCAGCGCTGAGGTCTGGAAAAGTTTTCAGCTCCTAATCTAGAAGGACGGTCTGGATTTCCACCTTTGGAGCAGGAAAGGCTGCCTCCCCTTCTCACTCCAGAGCAGAAGGGGTGGATAGGTGGCCGAGATCTAGGATGGGGCTGAGGGTGCAGGAACTGGCGGGAGGGATATCGAGCACATCCGAAGCAATATTGGGGGAAGGAAGATATTCCCAAACAGCCTCGTGGGTGTGTAGAACTACAAATCCCATCACTGGCCTGCTAGCTGTGGAGGATGGGAGTCCAGTACAAAAGGTTTCAGGGACACAGAGGCACAAAGAAGCCAAAAACAAGACCGGGGGGGGGGGGGGCAAGAAGGGGCAGAGCCGTGATCGAAATCATGTCTAGGCAGGCCCACCTCGCGGGGGGGGGACCAAGTCATTCAGGGAAAGCTCAGCCCACTTTCTCCAAGGACTGCGGCCCCTCCATTCCCATCGGCCGCCCCCCCACCAGAAAAAAAAGGCCCACCTGTCATCATCCTCGGCTAGCGAGACCTTCTCGAAATGGAGGTGGAGGCGCTGCCCAGGTGGGGCTTCCAGAAGCCAGTGGCAGGTCAGGTTGTTGCTGTAGTTGGCGGGAAAGCCTGGGGACACGAGGCGCCCGGTGGTGGCGTTGCGGATCACCCCGCCACAGGCCGCTGTCACAAGAAGGATTCAACGGGATCAGTGTGTGTGTGAGTGTGTGTGTGTGTGCGTGAGTGTGTGTCAATCCAGGCGGGGCCAAAAGCGCTCTTTTGAAACTCACCCAACCCCGAGGATGACCCAGCTTTAAGGGAACTCTCCGAGGTGCTGAATCCTTTTCTTGGAGAGGGCTCGGCAGCCTCTGCGGGTGCTTCTACAGTTTGGATCAAAACCCAGAACGGAGGGGCTAGCCTTCCCTCCCCGGATGAAACCGCCGCCGCCCTCGGCCCCACTCACCTGCGCACGTGGGCTCCCGGGCGCTCCAGAAGGGGTGGGTGCCGTTGAGGCAGGCGAGGCAGTGCTGGCCCACCAGCTGGTAGCCGGTGGCACAGGAGAAGCAGGCGTGGCCACCTGGGTGCACGCTGGTGACGGAGAGGTCTCCGTAGGCGGGCCGCACCGGGAAGACGCAGCTCAGCAGGTACGCTAGGAAAAGGGGAAAGGGGCAGGTGTTAGGAATGGCGAGGAAACCCACGAGTTTATTTTGAAATAATTCATTATTAAATCCATCAGTTTGAGCTCGAGATTTTAAGAAGCTGGAATCCAAGGAAGGGAAAAGAACGGATCTGCCCATCCAGGTGGAGAGAGTTGATCGCTTAGCTGGGAAAAGTTCGACTTGTCATCCATTCACATTCAAAGCAGAGGTCCTCTGTCTCGGGCAATTCCCTCCCTTTCAAAGCTGGGTTAACTGTCACAGCTCCGCCACCCTAAGGAATGCTGGGCTTTGTAGTGTGGGGAGGAAATGAGAACTCTGTGCTGTTGTTCAGGGAAGGGGCACATGGGCTGAAATAAACCACATGCAACGCCTCAAATTGCTCATCTAAAGCTCGGACTAAATCCCGGAGCGGATCCCCTGGATCTGGCAAAACCAGAATCCCCCCCCCACACCGCTAGGAATCTGGAGGAGAGAGTCAAGGTGGTCCGACTGTTATATATGGGCAGCGCAGCACCCTCCACCGCCTTGGCGATGCTGAAATTCATTATTCATAAGTTCGCTATCAGTTCATTTATGAATAATAAGTGTGTTCATTCCGTTCTGTCTGCACCGAGCAGCAGCCACGTGGAGCAATGTCATCGGGGTGTGGGGCGGAAGCGGGCATGGCTGTTTTTAGGCAGGGCATCTCCTTGGCAGAGACGAGGATGGGGGTGGGGGGAGAGAGAGACAGCCGGCCCGTGCTCTGTGCAAATTCCGTTAATTGCTGGGACCAATTATCTCCCCATTAAGCTCTCTTCGGTGGGTGCCCGCCTGAACCTGGCGACGTCGGCGATTAGCTCCGGCAGCGATTAGTGGAGCTCCCAATTAGCTAATTGCGCTGCAGCTGCACAGGGGGTGGAGGGAAGCTTGCCGCCTGCACAGGCTGCGACGGGGGTGTCTATGTGTGTAGCTGGAGGTTGGGGTGTTTGGGGCATCGCCTCCATGTTTTCTGGCCAGGGGATTCTGGGCTTTCAAGACCAAAAACAGAAATCGCCCGAGATGATGCAGCAATGGCTCCGGTACGCAGCCAACCGCCCCCGCGGCCTCCCCCGGCTCACTGGGCCACTCATACGAAACTGCTTTAAAGAGGCTTTTCGCCTTGACGCACAGCCACCAAACAGAGCTGAATGTCCCCCCCAAGTGGTGGCAAAAGGGATTACATGTATATGAAAAGACCACCATGGGAAGCTTTACCTTCGAAGTGGAAGTGGAAGCTTCCCGGGTTGGCGGGCGCAGGGCTCTGGAAGCGCACCACCACCTGATTCGTCGGCCCACGGATCACTTGGCCCCTCATGAGGAAGGATTCGTTGGCCAGGGCGACCGGCTCCAGGCCGCCCAGCGTCTCCACAGTGACGGTCTCGCCTTCTCTCAGGCTGATGTTTTGGACCTGCATGGAGGAGAGATTCGAGGCAGAGAAAAGGCGCTGTCAAGACGCATTGTAAGGAGGTGCCCCTCCAGGTTCCCATTGCACTTTGAAACGTGCCCAGAGAATCCCGGAAAAGCAGCCTTTCTGGCTCCACAATTCCCTCTCTTTGTCTTCTGTTATTCTGCACATGCTCAGAGGCACTGGTTACAGATCTGCAGGTTCTGGGAACAAAGGATCTCCACCAGTTCTGCTTCCTCGGAGCCAGCAACCCGCCCTGTCCTCTTGCGGCACCGGCCGCATAACTCACAGTGATAAACGAGCCCCTCTTGCCATCTCTCATTAAAGCGGTGATTGTATATTAATTACGGTAATTAAATGGCGCTGTTCAGTGATGAATGGCGAAAAGCAGTCGCCAGCTTCTGCACTAATGACACCAAAAGGTACCAGAGATGTTTGGGGGGGGGGAGGAAGGGTGACGGCCAACCCGGTGGGGAGATCTCGCTCCGTGGGCCTGCTGGGATTTGGTAATGATTTATGGGATGGCAGAGCCGAACAAGGGGAGGAAGCCACGCATGGCCGCCCGAGCTTGCTTGTGAAACACAGAAAGGTCACTAGGAGACCTTCCCTTCCAGAGTTGGGAAAGTTACATCTAGAAAGTAATTAGTTACAGTTGCAGTCCAAAGGCCCCCCAGATTGAACTCATTACTCTTGCAGTGACCATGTTTTAAAAAGGCAACACTTCTCCTCCTTGTTATTCAAGAGTAATTAAAACGGTGGCTTTTAAAAATGAATGAAAAAGCAAAATCCGACTGCTTCAAGCCCCTGGACTTGGGCTTTCTGGAACTATGAAAATTAGTTTTTAACAGCTGCAAAAAATAGTTTGCTATTTGTAGGAAACTGCTGGGAAGCTTTGGAGAGCTGGTGGTGGGGCACCCAAGCCTTTCCCCTCCAAAGCGCTGAGGCTATTCTCCGAATCTCCGCCACCCGAGGGGACTGCTTCACTCTCCCCAAGGACAGGGCAGGCCCTGAACAATATTTTCCTTTGTTCCAAGCAGGATCAGTCCCATTCGGTTTTAGCGCATCGACGCCTTGCTGTGTTATCTGAACCACAGACCAGCAGACAGTGAGATGGGCCCGGCCGCCTCTTCCCCCCCCCAGTCTGTTTTAGAACTATGTTCGGATTGGTACTCCCAGCCTGACTTCCTTCCTCCTTCTTCCTCCAAGATCCAGATTTTTGGTTTTTTCGAGTTAGAGAAAAGCAGGCAGCACCTAGGGTCTATAAAACTGCTGCCGGGTAGGCATGCAACACACAGAAGCTCGCTCTAGGGGATTCCATAAATAAGCTTAGCTATCTTTCCTCCTGCCCTATCCATGCATCGTTTCCCTCTCTTTAGAGTAGAAATAGTAAGTGTCCCTCTCTTTTTCTGGCCTAAATACCCGTCGCCAGAGCAGGATTGTTCTCTTTCCCAGAGTCGGAGCTGCAGCGTTAGTCTGTAGCTGCCTCCCAGGAAGTGGCAAATGTTACAAACAGCCGTACAGTCCCTGTCCTGCATCACAGGAACGTTTTATTCCCCTGAGCCGCTTCAGAGGATGAAATGGAGAAGGACGAGCAGCCAACCGGAGACAGAGATATAAAACATCTCTTTCTTTCTCCTGCAAAGGCTGAATTTCAAACACAGTCTCTCGGGAATACGTTTCCTTTTTTGGACACAACAGATCACTCCCGGGGTGCAGCCAGATCTGCCAGCAATGTCCTCCGCTAATGTGACTCCGGGGAGGGAGCCTCGCTGGCGGGGGCCCCCCCAGGCCCAGAGGCGGCACCCCGGCAGGCCTGCCCTCTCTCCCAAGGCCCACCTCTCGCGGCTGGTGAGCGCCGGCCTTTTTCCACGCGGCCTAATGAACACCCTTGGGGTGGACAGCGCGATGGAGGGGGGGGCAGAGGAGATCGGGGCGGGGGGGAGAGAGAGGCGCTGTTGAAATGTCGGCCAAATGCCACGAATATTGATTTGACATTTGCTTCCGTGTCTCTCAGATCCTGTAAGGCTGGCTGGCTGCCTCCCTGAAAAGGAGATGTCTGTATCTCCAGCTTTTTATTAAAATGCAGCCCGCTCGCTTTGGATCGAATAGACCGGGGGGGGGGGTTGGCGGCATTTGGGGTGCGTGAAGGCTCCTCTCCCCACCCTCAACTCAGATATCTTTGCTTATGGCTTGGCAGCTTTAGCTGTTGGTGACTAGCAATCACAGCATCCGTCCACTCTTTTCAGACTACAAGACCCAGAATCCCTGGATTATTTTTCTCCGGCTACAACCTCCTGAGGCCGCACTCCAGCGCTTATAGCATCTGCACGAAATGGTTTTGGACTCTGGTCTGGAAACTCAAGAGCCACAACCCCGACTCCAGAGAGGTTTCCAAGCTATATTTAATAATTTTGGGGGGGACAATTATTTTGAGGCTGTCCATTCGTTAAAAATATCCAGCAGATGATCCCTTGGACCCCATAAAGGAGGAAAATCGCTGTAGGTCCTTTTTCCTCAACGTATTCTGCGTCCAGAAGAAATTTGTTAGCACAGAGCCTTAACCGTTGTGCGCGCATTCATTTCCCCGGCAAGGAGACACAGTCGTGACTTCTCTCTGTTGCAAAGAAAATTATTTGGAAGGATGGGCTTGGACTCAAACGGGCCATTAAGAGCTATTATCTTTACAAAAGACCCACTCCTGGTAAGGTGAAAGCATCTTATAATAAAAATAATAAAATTCTTATTATTTGGACTTTCTAGGGAAGGGTGAGTGGCCTGCCCGGGGAGGGTGTTGTGAGGAGCCCCTGTGTGAAAAATATACCACTGCCACCCGGGTCTCCCTCAGAGCAAATCTACCTCCCAGGCAGCAGAAGCCTGCGTAAGGTGAGGATGCATCGGATCGCAGCTTCGGGGGCTTTGTTTCCAAACAAGTTTGCTTATTCTCTTGAGCTCTCATTACACCCACAGCCTCCCCCCCCCGAAACACGTGCCTGACACCCTCAACTCTTTCTGATTGCTCTTAGATGTAATTACATATTACGGCTTTCGATTATGAGCTCAGGCAGCCTTGAGGCTTCTGCGCAACCTCCTTGTTCGCCTTCTCTCCCTCCTGTATCTCTTCTGGGCAGGCAGGGAGAAAGCAGGGCATGTCTCCAATACGATAAATCTCCACCTGCTCTGTGCTCCGAATCTGGCAAGCAATGGGGGACGTAACCAGCCCTTTACCACACTCTCCTACCCCATGACCGGGGTTTCTCAAAACCACGCCGCTCCATCTTTGTTGGCGGGCAAACGCTTCCTCACCCCGTGACCGGGGTTTCTCACCACGGCGCCCACCCTGAAACTCCTCAACCACCACCCTCTCTGTTCCATCTTTGTTGGCGGGCAAACGCTTCCTTCCACTTCCGCAGGCAATGCCATTTGTGCATCACTTTCCTCCATCCTGAAAGCCTGCCTGAATTACGTCTCTCAACATTGACTTTGATTTTCACTCCGATGACGAGATGGTATCTGTTGTGCTCAGTGCCATGACCCCCCCAAAACCCCTTTTCCCTTTCACGGCGCCCTGTTTCTGCCGATCACTTACCCGGATCTCGACTCCATAACCAGGGTAGACGGAGATGCTGTAGGAGCAGTCGAGGACCCCTCCCTCGTAAGGGATGCTCGATGGCAGGGGAGAAGCCAGGGATCCTTGGGGGCCGGTGAGGTTCCAGCTGCACGGACCTAAAGGGGGAAAAAAGGACTTATGGAAGGAGGAAGGAAGGAAGGAAGGAGCAGAAGGGGTTCTGCGCCCAAACACCCCCCCCCAAAAGCTGTCCCGTACCTGCTGCCGGTGACGTGGTCACAACCGTGGTGGTGGTGATGGTGGTCGTGGTAGTTTCATCCTCCTCCCCAGAGATGGTGTGGACGGTGGCCACCTCTGGCTGTCCCGTGGGGGCAGTCGGGGTGTCTCCGGATAACGAGACGGAGGCAGCCCGATCTGATTTGGGAAGGCTCCCCGGGACGGGGGTGATGGGCGTCTGCATCTGACCGGAGACGAGACGGCTCTTTGGAGCGTCCTGGCCTGGCTCGGACCATGGCACCAGGCGCCCCACGGCTGTGGTCAGCAGGTTGGCAGTGAAAGCTGGTTTGGCCATTTCGGGGGCCCTCGCCGAATCCGCCTCGTCTGTTTTGTCGTCCCTGGGGAACGTGGGGACCGGCGTCGGCGTCATGGGCGGGGTGGTGGCCTCAGGGAGGGTCGGCCGCCGGCCTGGCTCGGGCGGGCGGTTCGTGGTCACTGGGGCAAGGTCAGCGCTGGGCAGTACGGGACCCGGGCCGACCAAGCCGGCAGCCAGGAAGGGAATCTGGCGCAGGTAGTCTTTCTTCAGCAGCGTTTCATGGAGGAAGTCTTCCAGGAGAGGGTGGTGGTTGAGGAGTTTCAGGGTGGGCGCCGTGGTGACAAAGCGGGTGTCGTGCTCGAGCTGTTCAGGCGTGGGGGGCACCGTGGGGGACCCCTCTGAGCCGCCCGGTCTCTCTGGATCCCGGGAGGCGAGGCCTGGAAGCGAAGGACAGGAAAAACGAGAGAGACTGAGAGGTCAGTGGGGCAGGAGCCTCGCGCTAAAGCAGATTTGGGGGAAATTCCCTTGTTGGCGGACTACGTGTCCCAGAATTCTGCAGCTGGATGGGGGATTTTGAGACTCATAGTCTTCCCTCCCCAAAATGGAACTCTTCCCAGGCTCTGTGCTTAACAAACTGTGTGACGCGTCATTTTGGCCCTAAATATTAAGAGGAAACCCCCGTTGAGAGAAAGGGAGGCTGGCTGTCCCTCCGGCTTCATGGCTACAGCACGTCGGCTTTTGGTTTCAGCCAAGTCCTCCCCATGAACTTGTAGACCCAGAAAGTAACTACACATACAAATAATAACAGCAGTTCCTAAATCATAAACAATTTTTCTGTATTTGAGTATTTTCCCCCAGTAATCATCCTATAACTATTTATCTTTGTTAAATTTTTAAAAACCTGGGGTTAAAGCCCATCTTTCCTCTCTTGGTCTTGTCGGCCTTTGGACCCCCCCGCCACTGGACCTATGCTCTGAAGACAAACTCAGCTCAATGAAGGGACCCAGCTACGCTGCAGGGATCCTTAAAAAAAACTTGGCTTAAAGTCTTTTTAAGCAGACTGTCTTCTGCTTGGGACAACTGGAGACCAGCGGATTGGAGGGGGAAATTTGCAACTGGTCCAGAAACTGGACGAAAGAGAGAGGGTTGCGTGCCAAAAGGCAGATGGGAACCGTCCCCTGAGAAAATGCACCAGTGGCAAGTTTTGCACATAACTAGCCAGTCAATGCGGAGAGTCAATAAATAATTCTGCTGCTATTTCTCTCCTTTTTTTAAACTTCCGCAGCTCAATATTTACAATCAGATAGAAAAAGCCCAGGCTCTTCTCTTGGGGGCCCCTGAGGTGGGGCATGAGAGAAAATCCAATTAGTTCCCACTCTGGAGGTGCTGAAATCTACACCCAGCCCCCCCCCACCTGCCAGGAAGCTCCCGTAAGGGTCGGACTGAAACCCGGAGCCAATCCGCCCTGCACCAAGAGCAGCCCGCTCGACGACGGGTTTTGTCCGTCCGTCCGTCTGCAGCGTGAATGGAAACGAGCATAGCCATGAAAAAGCAAACAAGCCAGCCTACAAGAAACGAACGGCACTGGGAGGAAAATCTTGTTTTTGTTTGTTTGCTTGCTTTAAGGCAGGATGGGGGGGGGGAAATCAACACATTCCCAGGAAATAATTACTAATATTATCACCGAGCTCTTGTCAGGTTAAAGCAGGATGCAGGGAGTCAATGAGCTACACAGCCTTGACTTTCTGGAAGGATTAGGTGGGATTTAAACGGAGGCAAGAGACGATGATACCAAATAAAGGAGGAGCCTCAGCAGACAACCCTGCGAGGCGGGCCGACTTCTTTCGAGATGCTACTGGAGAAAAGAGTGGGTGGGTTTAGGCTTGCCTCTAAAATGAGAGAGATTGGGGGGGGAGGAGAAATCGCTCTGCCCATGCCTCCAAAACCTATTTATAAATATATTTTAAAGACTTTTTTTTAAAGGGGGGGGAGAGAGAGAGAGACCCCCCCCTCCCAAGAGGATGGGGCTCAGCGGTACAGCTAAGACCCAGAGTTCGATTTGACACGCTCCAGGCACAGACTGGTTTAAGGAGGCATTCCCCCGTGTGGCTGGCTTGCCGTCATCCCCGCGCATTATCTTCTAAATAAGCTGTGTGCACCCGGAGCCATTTAGAGGCTGTTAGGCTTAATGGTACAATGCTTTCATTAGCCTGTAATGAGCCATCGGAAATGCCTCCCTGGTGGGCCGGCCTGCTTCCGGGGAGGGGGGGCATCCAGAGGGGCCACGTGGTGCACTTTCTCTCTCTTCCCCCCCTTCTCTCCTGGAAACAGATAAATTTTTTAAAAGCACTACAAGTCCCATCGCTCATGCTGGCTGGAGGATCCTGGGCCATGTAGTTCAAAAAGAGATGAGCTTCTTCCCCCTCTGCTCCTTCCAACCCCAGACACGGGCTTCGCCAGCATCCAGGGCAGCATCACAAGGCCTGCTGGGTGGTGTCTTGGAAAGGCAGTTCCCTGCCCCGAGGGGTCTACAGATCCAAACCTGATTTCTCTCCCTTCTGGCTCTTCACAGCATCTGAAATAGCTCACCTTCTGGCCTAGGCGTAAAACGAGCCCGGGGTTGTAGCCCTGATTGGTTTGGCACAAATCTGGAACCCTGATTGGCCTCGGGCAGCCCAGTCCCCCCGGGATGGCTCTCCATCTCAGACCAGACCGCCTCCTGGGTATCGATTCCAGGGCGCCCCCCATTGAGACCCCAAAGCAAAGCCAGGATGATGATGGTGGAGAAAGAAAGAAAGAAAAAGGGTGGTCGGGAAAGACCGTGGCTATGTGGGTGCCAGGCGGGCGGCTTCCGGTTGGCAGAGGCTGCTCCCTCCCTTGCTTTGGCATCCCGGGAAGGTGCCCACGTCGGGGGGTGGGGAGGGTGCACGCTCCTTTGACGCGGAGCGTGGCGGAATCGAATCTGCTGCTGCTGCTGCTTAAAGAGGTTAACTTGCCCCCAGCATGGAGGGAATTATGTTTTAATAGAATCCATTTATTACGCCATAAAAGTTAATGAGTTTATACGGAAAGGCGCCAGGGTTCCTTTTAAGGTTTTAATAGGGGATTAGCGCGGCGTCCCAGACTCCGGAGCCAATTCCGTTGCTGCAATGTCCGTGTGTGTGTGTGTGTGTGTGT